ATTTGTTTGTCTCGCTGCACGTGGGAACAGACTTGGGCTGTCGATATGTGATGTGATATTCGTGAGCAAGCAGCTGTTAGTTGAATTATTTGAGCTGATTTCGGTTTCATCTCTTTCTTTATCTTCCTCTCTTAGTTTTGAATAATTTTTAATGTTATTTGTATCATTATTGTTCAAGGCCTCATCTGAATCCTTTATACATTTCTCGTGGGTCATGGTAACATCCTTTGTCCAAGGCGTGGAGGTTAAATGCTTTGCTTCCTTCCCTCTATTATCCTCATTTAAAAAACTAGGAGAACCCAGAGGTCTAAACAAATTATTTTTAGACCCAGAGCAAGGTTGATACCCTCTTATATTAGAAGAGGCTGGTAAGATTATGCAAAGTGGATTGTCGACCTTGCTCGAAGATGATTTATGTGATTGAGGAGGTTTAGGAAAGTCAGGTGCATTGGTCCTCAAAGGTAAAATAGGGCCAGTTGTGTTCTCATAGAATGATATTACAGTATCGGAATATCTGGCTTCCGATACAGGGCATGTTGAGTTGTCGCACTGTCGTATATGTGGTAGAGGATGATCAAAATGGTCGGCTTTAGGGATGAATTTGGCAGTGTGGGAACTGAGTGATTCCTTTTTAGCGTTTTTTATGGACAACACTTGTTCCTGACAAGTCCCTGAAGTAGAATACAAGCAATTTGGCTGGTGACAAGCTTCTACTGTTTCTGTTGATGACATTTGTATTGTGTCACCTGTATAAGAAGCTGTCCCGGACTGTAGTTTAGCATGAATTGTTTGTGCTGAGAGAGGAAAACCCACAGAGCAGGCGCAACCTTTTGTGGCAATGATAGATGTAGAAGAGGTTGTAGCAGAAGAGACCGCAGTGAAAGATCTGACGGGGGAGTTGGCAGAAAATAGAGAAGTTGCTCGGGTGCAAATAGGGTTCTCAGCTGAACTTGACTGGAAAACACCTGTGGAGGTAGGCGAGAAGTAGATAGAGCTGGGTGAGGCAAAATGGCCAGGAGAACGAAGTCCTTCAGATGAAGCATGATCATTAAGCAATGATATGGTTGCAACCCCCTTTTTATTATCTGTAGAAACGATAGATGCAGAAGAGTCCCGACGTATAGGATGAACCTTAGTCGGTGTGACAGAATCCCGAGATGATACAAAGGGGTAATCAAAAGACTCGGAATACTAACGAATGTGAAATAGTGAGATGTGATATAAGGATAGAAGAAAAAAAGTAATGCTTTGAGTAAAATAATTATCGAATAAATAAATTCAAATCAGAGAGCGGTCGAAATGAAAAGTTCACATACATAGCATAAAGTTGTGGCTTATATTAAGAAAGACGATATAATACAGGAAATCAATGGGAGTAACTGTGATGCTTTGATTCTGCGATTGTTGTAGGCAAGTAGTTTAGATTTGAATGAGCCAAAGGCGATTAAAGTATAATCGATTATTGGGCAGGCCTAAATAGATAACTACATGGAATATTAAAGCATTATCTCAATAAACTCAATACTTTAACAGCAGTAAAAAGGCAGCAAAGAAAATATATCAAAGAATACATTTAACCGTAGGAATGAAAACTAAGATACTGTGGCTGTATAATATTAATTTGACCTCGCTTTCGCAACATACTTAGAGCGACAGGGAGACGATGTAGAGCATACATAGTCCTGAATCTTGTCATAGTATTCATAATTTCCAACAACGTAACACTGGCTCGGTACATTCTCAGACGTTTAGCCAACTAGAAGGCAGGGAGAGGGCGATAAAATGTCACAATCGGTGAATAAAATTTGGTGGAGATAATTTCTTCCTTTGATGATTCGATTTATTGTGACTCTGGGAATGTAACAAATTGATGATCCGATGGTCGAGATTATCATAAATTCTATGGCAGAGGGCATGTTTCACAAGATCTCTCAGGTCTTGGATCAAGTTGCGAAATAAAAAGAAAACCTAAAAATTACTATTTAATGTTTAAATCAAAACTCCTAATAAGAGTTAATGCTAAAAATGCAATTCAAGAATTCGCAAAAGACTAGTAAATAATTTTGCCGCAAATAATTCCAATAGTGATTTAACAACTGTAATAAAATAGCTAAGAATCGACACTATACTATCTGATATCATCTTAGATAATAGAGATGTATTTGGCGCTTTGCTTCATTATCTTTTGTAATGAGATGTATTCACCCTATAATTCCTGCATGACACCAGAGAATTTCCAAATATGAGTAGGATCCGATTGATTCAGATAAAGAGATATAGTAAAGAACTTCACCATCAGCTCAAACAAGCTATTAAGACAATGCTAAACATACTGACCAAACATAATATAAACGTGTAAATGAAGATTAATTCATCAATAGACCCTAACACATATTAAGAAGCGTAATCAAGGTTTTCATGAGTCAATGATTTAGCTATCGAATCAGTAACAAACAGTATTCTTA